AAGTTTCCAAAGCTACACAGAGAAACCCTGTCTCAAAAAAAAAAAAAAATAAAGAAAAAGAAAAAAAGTTCCTTCCACCTTGTTGAGGCAGGGTCTCTCCTGCATCTGCCACTGCACAGCATGCTTCAGGCTAGGAGTGTCTGGTCCTTCTCTTGACTCCACCTCCCATCTTGCCATGGGGTGATGGATGACAGATATGTACCAAAGGTCGTCAAGCCTAAGCTCAGATTATTGGGCTTGTAGGCCAGGTACTTTTTCTTCCTGAGCCGTCTCCCTGGCCCCCTCTTCTCTGTGTCTCACTGTGTAGCCCTGGCTTGCTGTGGATATCGCTCTGTATAAGTAAAGCACTGATTGGCCAGTAACCAGACAGGAAGTATAGGCGGGACAAGCAGAGAAGAGAATTGTGGGAACAGGAAGGCTGAGTCAGGAGATGCCACTAGCCGTGCCATGAGCACCAACATGTAAGGTACCGGTAAGCCACGAGCCATGTGGCAAGGTATAGATGAATAGAAATGGGTTAATTTAAGATATAAGAATTAGATAACAAGAAGCCTGCCACGGACATACAGTTTGTAAGCAATGTAAGTCTCTCTGTGTTTACTCGGTTGGGTCTGAGCGGCTGCAGGACTGGCAGGTGAGAGAGATTTGTCCTGACCATGGGCCAGGCAGGACTGGAGAAAACTCCAGCTACGCTGGCTGGCTTCAAACTTGGGGGTGCTCTTCCTGTCCAGGCTCATGAGTACCACAAGTATGCACAACCATGCTTGAGTTTATCCTTTTTTTTTTTTATTTTAAACTTGATTTTATTTCATTTTACATGTATGGGGAGTTTTGCCTGCATGTGTGGGATGGGTGCCCTCTGAAGTCCAAAAGAGTGTTCGATCCCCTGGAACTGGAGCTATGGATGGTTGTAAACCACCTTGTGGGTGCTGAGAATCAAGCCCAGAGCCCTGGAACAGCATCCAGTGTTCCTAACCACTGACCTCTCTCACTCTAGCCTCCTCGATTCCACCTTCTAGGTCACTTATGAAAACCTTCTGGCCCTCTGAAAAGGGACTTCACAAAAGAAAGTTTCCAAATGATTAAAAATACTAAAAACGAGCCAGGTGGCAATGGCGCACGCCTTTAATCCCAGCACTGTGGGAGGCAGAGCCAGGTGGGTCTCTGTGATTTCAAGGCCAGCCTGGGCTACAGGCTATAAATATATATATAAAATGACTCTCAACTTCATTAGTCATCAGGGAAATGTAAATTTAAAACACAATGCAATGCCACTATTTACTAGGCAAAATGCCTAAAATGAACTAAACGACGTGAATTGTAGCAAGGAAACAGAGACTGGAGCTTTCACTGGCTGATGACAAGGGCGTTGTCTTAGTTAGGGTTCCTATTGTAGTGATGAAACATCATGACCAAAAGGCAAATTCGGAGTCAGGCAGTGGTGGCACACACCTTTATCCCCAGCACCCAGGAGGCAGAGGCAGGTGGATCTCTGTGAGTTTGAGGCCAACCTGGTCTACAAAGTGAGTTCCTGGATAGCCTGGGCTACACAGAGAAACCCTGTGTCAAAAAAACAAAAAAAAAAACAAAAAACCAAGTTGGGAAGGAAAAGGGTTTATTTGGCTTACACTTCCACACTGCTGTTTATCACTGAAGGAAGTCAGGACAGGAACTCATGCAGGGATGGATCCTGGAGGCAGGAACTGATGCATAGGCCGTGGAGGGGAGCTGCTTACTGCATGCTTTCCGTGGTTTGCTCAACCTGCTTTCTTACAGAACTCAGGACCACCAGCCCAGGGATGGCACCACCTATCCTTGGCTGGGTCCTTGCCTATTGCTCATTAATTGAGAAAATGTCTTACAGCTGGATCTCAAGGAGGCATTTCCCTCAACGGAGGCTCCTTCCTCTCTGATGACACACAAAATCAGCCAGAAACAGGTATAATTGGCATAAGAACTTTAAAAGGGATTCTGCATTCATTGTTGTCTTAGGGTTCTATTGCTTCGAAGAGACACCATGACCACGGCAACTCTTATAAAGAAAAACATTTAGCTGGGGCTGGTTTACAGTTCAGAAGTTTAGTCCGTTA